AATTTACTTGGTTATCTTTCGTTTCCATCCGTGTTTTCATTTATTGTCTCTACTGTTTGTAGTTTGATTTCTCCCTGCCGTTGATATTACTTCGTTATCTTAATCTTGATAGTTTATTATCATATCCTGTTCAATTTATTTGACCAGTTGGTGTCTTGACTGCTCCTCGTCACTACTCCACCGAGGTTAGTCTTGATACTTACTAGGCACCGATGTGGTGTGCTCATACTACACTTCTGTATATTTTTGTACAGATCCAGGTATTTGATCGATATTAGCTGCGCGGATCGTCGCGGTGGAGGCTCAAGGTAAACTTGCAGCTGGGTTCGCAGGCCTCGGAGTCACCTTTATTTGTACTTATTTCCATTGGTTCCTTTTGTTCCGGAACAGTGATGTATTTATTATGTACTACTCCTAGAAAGGCTTATGACTTGTACTGTCGGTTTTGGGAATTGTAAGTGTTCAGAGTTATCTAATTTGAGGTTAGTGAATATCAATATTATTTCTGTTAATGCTAGGCTTACCTAGTTTGAAAACTTGGTGCCAATCACGACTCCTTCGGAGGGATTTTGGGTCATGACACCTGCGTTACATACAAATGACCAGACTTGACTTCTCGAGCCACTACTAACGAGCCCTTGGTGAGCTTCCATTGGCTATTAAAGAAGGCATTATGGTAACCTTCATCGTCTAATCTTCTTGCGGAGATCAAATTGAAAGGAAAGTCTGAAGCATGCTTGACATCTTGAAGAACTAACGTTGAACCATTATTAGTTTTCAAACAAACTGTGCCAACACCGAACACCTTAACTTTACTGGCATTGCCCATCTTTAACACTCCAGAATTAACAGGAGTATAAGATGAGAAAACGTCTTTTCTTGGTGTGACATGTGAGGTAGCTCCAGAATCTACTATCCAGCTCGTCTCATGGGATACCAAATTGATAACATTTTCATCATAAGCAAAAAGAAGGTCATCTCTTACAATAGCAACAACATTGTTCTCGCTATTTTCAACTTTCTTTCCTTCTCTAATGTCTTGCAACAACTTGCGGCAAAACCTTTTGATATGTCATTTCTTGCCACAGTGGTTGCATGTAATATTATGGTATTTGGACCTTGACTTACTTCTACTTTTACCTCTATTCCATGAGCCTCTTGTTCTATCTCTTCCCCGGTCTTCTGTAACTAAGATATCTGCTTGTGAGGACGAACCCTGAGATTTTCTCCTTACTTCCTCGTTCAAAACACCACTCTTAGAATATTTCATGGTCACCTTACCTCCAGGAGCTGAATTTGTCAAAGAAACACGAATAGTTTCCCAAGAGTCTGGCAGAGTATTAAGAAGCCAAAGTCCTTGTATCTCATCATCAGAATTAACTCCCATTCCAGACAGCTGATCAAGGACGCCCTGAAAATCATTTATGTGATCAAGGATAGGGTTGCCTTCCTTGTATTTAAAGGTCATCAATTGCTTTAGCAGAAACAACTTGTTGTTCCCAGTTTTTGAAGCATAAAAAGTCTCTAGCTTTTCCCACAATGATCTCGCATATGTTTCGTTCACAATATGGTTGCGAACATTATCTTCAACCCATTGTCGTATATATCCACATACTTGTTGGTGCTCGAAATCCCAATCTTCATCAGATATACTCTCGGGTTTATGAGCTAAAAAAACGGGTAGATGCATCTTCTTCACGAACAACAAATCTTTCATTTTGCTTCTCCAAACATTATAATATCTCCCATTTAAACATACCATCTTGCTCATATTCGCCTCCATTCCGTAATAGCCCGGATAAATAACCAAGGCTCTGATACCACTGTTAGGACCGAAAAAAATCAGGTGTCATGTGGAAGCTAGCAAAGCAAACCTTGAACGACGATAAATCATACAACAAAGAGAAATATACGAAAAGAAACACAAACATATTACGTGGTTCGGTCAACTGACCTACATCCATGGCGGAGATGAGCAATCCACTATAATAAAAGAGAGTACGAAATATCGAGAGACCAACCTCACGAAGAGGCAAACACAAGTGATACACTAACACTTGTCCCGTAAAGTTCTCCCCCTAAACACGACTCTCAAATCCCATACGGCTACATTGTAGATGCTAATGAATGACAAGGAAAGATCCTCAATTTATATAACTCCAAAACTTTCCTACAAGAAAAGGGAATAGCCAAATATAGAAGAATTATATTTTCCTTATAGGAAAAGAAAAACCCAATTATAATAAATATGTTGTCCTTTACTTCATGAGATAGAAAAATCAATTATGGTAAAAAAATCTGGACAAACACCTAACAAAATCACACCTCCAACTCAAGGAAACGGCGAAAAAAAATGTGTTGGAGACGGCAACAGTGGGACGCTCAACAACATTCTTTTTAATTTTCAAACGGAGTACAATTCAAGTTTGGTGCCTTCAAGTTTTAAATAGGAAAAAATAATTATAGTTTATCTAATTACGAAATACTTCCCATTAACACAGTATTGATTTTGGTCTTATAAAATGGTCACTTACGCAAAATAAAGAAAGGGTTATTTTCCTATATATTCACTACACAAAATAAAGTTTTCAGTGACAATATTTGTGGCGACCACTTCAACCGTCACCAAAAGTAGTGCTTTGTCGCTACTCGAAGTGGCGATCTATATTTCTGTGATGACTTTCTGTGGCAATCTCTCAGTCTCAGTCACTACTAAAAGAAGTGCAGTGTACGTGAAGAACCAAAACTAGTGCTATGTTGTTATTTTAGTTGCGACTTCTTGTAGTGTTAGGCTGGACTTTTAGTGGCGACTTTTGTAGCCGCCACCAAAAGTTGTATTCCATGTCCCGTGACGACTTTCTATGGCGACTTCTTAGTCGTCACCAAAAGGTAGTATAGTCGACTTATCGGGACTTTTGCAGTCGCCACAGTGGGGACTTATCGTATAGTTACTTAAAATACAGTATTTGTTTTGATTGTTACTTAAATTTTATTGTATCGTATTGTTTAAATCCATTATTACGTAATGACTGATTTGATGTGGTCGCGTCGTTTCCTTATTTTGTTCTCTCATCTTGCCCTTTTTTATTATTAGATAATTCTATTTTATCCTTTATCCTACCTTTTTATATAATAATATTGCCTCTTACCTTACTTTTTTTTTTTTATATAATATTGCATGCAAGTTTATTCTTCATATTGTTGTTGCATGACATTATGAAACGACGACAAGCAATACAATCTATCCAAATATTGTATACTTCAAAATGATACAATACAATGCAATACTATACGATATATTGTGAAACGATACAAAACAACCATCCAAACAAGTTGTTAATAGTCGCCTTAAATATTTGCGTTGTTTTTTTCAATCTAATGATTCTATTTTTCATTTGATTTCCACTTTTGAGGGCCCCATTGATCTGAATTTTTATATAAATTCTCTGTTAAATAGTACGATTTTATTTTCAGAAAAGGTCCAAATACCCCCCTGGACTTTATGATAAGGTCTATATATAACCCTCGTTAAAAGTTTGGCCCATATCCAACCTTGCCGTTACATTATTGGCGTGGATACCCCCTTTGTTTTAAACGGAGCCAAATACCCCCCTGGACTTTACGATAAGGTCTATATATAACCCCCCCTGGATACCCCCTTTGTTTTAAAAGTTTGGCGTATAAAGTCTATATCTTAAACTATTTGTCCAATTAAATAATTATTTAAAAATCTTCTTTTAATTTTTCTTAAACTTATAAGTTCACATAAATTGATCTACATGGAATACAATATTTTAGATGTTTTTTTTCAATGTACCTATGGGCAGACAATTCTTTTTTTGTCGATAAATGTTTAGGTAAATAATACCGGCAGACAAAAATTGTCGATAATTTTATTCTGATTGTTGCGTAGGGATAGAAATGTAAGTTTTGGGAATGGGTAGATGATGAACTTCCTCTTAGAGTTACAACACTGATCAGTAAATAAAATTTGGTGATCACTTCAAGCATATTATTAGAGCACTTGCAGTTGCTTCCTGTTATTTCCTAGTTTGGGTCTGTATTAGTGTTTTCCGGAGTTTGTCGTAAGGTATATTAGCATCACCAAATTTTATTTACTTTGGAAACTGTTACTGCCAAATTTGGTGAGAAAGTAAATAAAATTTGGTGATGCTAATATACCTTACGACAAACTCCGGAAAACACTAATACAGACCCAAACTAGGAAATAACAGGAAGCAACTGCAAGTGCTCTAATAATATGCTTGAAGTGATCACCAAATTTTATTTACTGATCAGTGTTGTAACTTTAAGAGGAAGTTCATCATCTACCCATTCCCAAAACTTACATTTCTGTCCCTACGCAACAATTAGAATAAAATTATCGACAATTTTTGTCTGCCGGCATTATTTACCTAAACATTTATCGACAAAAAAAAAATTGTCTGCTCATAGGTACATTGAAAAAAAACATCTAAAATATTGTATTCCATGTAGATCAATTTATGTGAACTTATAAGTTTAAGAAAAATTAAAAGAAGATTTTTAAATAATTATTTAATTGGACAAATAGTTTAAGATATAGACCTTATACGCCAAACTTTTAAAATAAAGGGGGTATCCAGGGGGGTTATATATAGACCTTATCGTAAAGTCCAGGGGGTATTTGGCTCCATTTAAAACAAAGGGGGGGAGGGGGGGGATATCCGGGCCAATAGTGTAACGGCAAGGTTGGATATGGGCCAAACTTTTAACGAGGGTTATATATAGACCTTATCATAAAGTGCGGGGGGTATTTGGACCTTTTCCGTTTTATTTTTGTAGTTGGAACCCAAAATCGTAGTCAAGAATGTAGGGATACACTCAGTAGAATTTCAGAAATATCCTCTTTTTTTAATATTTTCTTTTGGCTGTGAAGTTCATTAGGCCCTTAAAATTAATTCGGAAGGGAAGTCTGAAAAAAAAAAAATAAATAAATAAAAGCAAGCAATTAATAAAGTGTGGAAGTTGGAATATAGGAGCACAAAAGACGCAAAACCGTTCATATTTTTTCAGAAATTATCCCCTTTCCTACCCAAATAATTCCATTAAAAAGATATGCAAATGCAAGCTCTCCACTTACTATCCACTTCTTCCCTTACTGCTTCTTCTTCACTGTAAGTAACGACCAATCACTGGTCAGTTTAAATTTTTTTTTTGAATTTGTTATGGAAGTTAACTTTTCGCGTTTTATTTGTGATTGTGTTGCAGGTCCACTTTTGCTTCTCTTAATTGCTGCCGTTGTCAATTTTCAAATCCATTGCCATTTACCTGCAAGACTAATTTGGGTTTTGTGAAAGGTAAGTTCTTCTTTTTTTTTTTTTAATTTATTTAGTTTCTTTTGCTGGCATTTCAAAGCAGTTGACTTTGGTGTTACTAGCTAAGGTTCCATTTTTTCAATCTTGATTTATTGGTCTTTGTTTTTGTTTAAAAAGCTTTAATTGGTAATGGGTGATTAGTGATTGTGTATGCAAGATCATTGTGAAGCCTTATATTTAGGAAGTTGCTAAATTGTCAAGATCCAGGGTTGAAATTTGGATATAAACAGTGTTGTCAATGGAAAAAACTGTAGAAAATGCCTCAAGGGCGGTTGGGGCGTCTCCATCTGAGTCTTGAAAAGTCTTAGCGGGTAGGTGAAAGCTGAGATGAGTGAAGGCGGTCTAGTATTTAAAGGCAGTGGGTACTCCTCGTGATGTATAAACATAAGGGGCAACACGATGCACGAAGCATCCCACGTTCACACAGGGTATGTGATTTAGGCAGCTTAACCTAACACAAGCATTAGTAGCTGATTCCACTGCTTGAACCTATGACCTATAGGTCACAAAAGAGATAACTTTACCGGTGCTCCAAGGCTCCACTTCTGTGATGTATAAACATATTTTAGTTTCTTAGTTTTCTAATCTGGATGGGTGATGAGTGATTAGTGATTGTAAAGGTGACAGCATTGTGAAACCTGATTCTTCTGGAAGTTGCTGCACTGTCAAAATATCTGGCTGACACTTGGATGTAAAAGCTGTTTCCTTTTCAGTGTCGAAATATGGTTGCAAAGCTTTAATCAGTAGATGAAAACTAAGATGTGTAATGGGTTTTTGGTGATTGTAACTGTGTGATCGTAAGTTGCTAAATTGTCGAGTCTACATGGGTGACTCTTGGACGTAAAACCTGTTTCCTTTCCAATGTCATGATCCTGATTTTCGGGGTTCCTTACTTTGTCTTTCCTCCTCAACTTGATTTCTTATCAGAGTCAAACCTTAATTCGTCTCCTACTGATTCTTCTGTTTAGTTGACATAGTTGGAAATCTCATGGTGCTTGACTTGCGTAAAATGAAATAGAGGAAAAACCAAACACAAGCAGACAGGAAAGACATAATGGTTATTTTAGTTATTGAATTTCAAGAATTTGTCTCCTAATGCAAAGTTACTTTTACTTCTCATCGTATTTGCAGTTAAGAGGCAATCAAAGGTTTCTAACTTGAAGGCTGGCTTTTGGGAATCCATCAGATCCGGGTACTTGAAATAATTGTTTAACAAGCTTTCCATTTGGCAAAAAGTGCATTAAATCTTATATTTGGAATGTTTGCTACGAACATACTAACTCCTTAAAGTTATTTCTCGCTTTCCCATCACCTCACTAGAGACAATTATATGGTTATGCTAATTTTCTGTGATGTGTCTGAAGAAATGGTATGAGACTGGTACAAGATATTGAGTTTAAGCTGTTATTGCTGTGGTAAGTGGAAACATGCCAAGATCTTGCCGTAAGAGATGATAAAGGATACACGATTATTCACCAAAAAGTAAAAGGAAAAATAAACAACAAAAAGGCTGCATGCTCTGAGTAGTGAAGTAAATGCAATGTGGGGGGTAGGTTCACTTTCATAAGTGCTTTCCCAAATCAAGACTGATTGATACACAATGATTATACAGCTGTCTCCAGGATGTTTCATGTGGACTCTATTAATTTCCTTAATAAGGTCTAATAAGATCGTCTTGGAGTTATAACTTAGACTTACAAAGCGTAAATAGCCTTATGATGCTCCATAGTGCAGGTTTGTTAAGAATAACACCATAAAGGTTATAGAATCACCATCCAATGAAGAAGAAGAGGAAGAAGAGCCTTTGCCTGAGGAATTTGTTCTAATTGAAAAGACTCAACCAGATGGAACAGTTGAACAGATTATATTCTCTTCTGGCGGAGATGTTGATGTGTATGATCTCCAAGCTTTATGTGATAAGGTGATTACATTTGTCAAATTCCATTTGCACTGGGGTGTAAATTTGGTGCTTTCTTATTAGAAGTTTAGGCAACATAAGTTTCAATTGAACAAACAGTGATGATTTGGTGCCTGGAGATATGAAATTACAATGTGCAACATGATATAACACAAAATGTTAGTATTATGAAGTTCATCCTCTTCAGCTTCTTCTGTAGCTTTTCATCCCTTCTAAGGGTTGACTTGAAAATGTTCATACCGCTATAGGCTATAGGAACAATTGCAGTCATGATTTTGTCCTTTGTGAAACGAAAGGAGCATGTGTACTTGTTAATAGTCTAGCAGGAAGGCACGAGAAATTTCATTCATATTCTATTAGTCTAGAGTCTAGTCATTGTGAATGATTAAATTTTGGGGGCCGTATCCACTTATTCACAATCTATGGAAATGTAACATGAGTTGGGGACAAATTTAAATACACAAAATTCAAGCCAGCATGTATTGATTGACCGGTAAATGTTCGTTTTTTTGGAATCAAATTGGACATCAAGTTTTGAGTTCCAAAGGAAAGGTGGAGCAGAGGAGCTTGAAGCAGAACATGAAGAAAGACGAAGAAGCCAAAGCAAGATTGCCGAGATAGAGTGGAAGCTAGCTGCGGTGCCAAAATATCTCTCTAGTTCTTCATCTACGGATACAAGAATCCTGGTCCTTATATACTTTCTTTTATTGCACTGGAGGTCTATTCCCATCAAGCTTTCTTGTGGTAGTAATGGCGAACTCATTTTATTTTTGGAGGATTTTGCTTTCTATTCTTGCAGCTGAGAAGCCTCAAGCTGTGTCCCCTGTTCACAACAACATCTATAAAAAGCCCTTCCTCCTCCTTCCCTCTTAATTATCAGGTAAGCTCCAGAATGGCCGCAATTATGAGTTGGTTTCTTCCATGGGGAAACCGCAATTGAACTCTAATTCTGGAAATATGTTGGGGCCCTTTTATCAAGTATATCAGATAGAAGATGATAGAGGGCCAACTGTCATCGTTTCATACAAGATAGTTCCCTTTCACTTCGATTTCCTTCTTTCCTTACCAGATTCCAAGAATACTAGTCCACCATGTACTTTTCCTTTAGTACATGAGAGGTCTATTCCCAACATTTATTTCTCCTTTAGATGGGATCATTTAAGGTACAGTCTGCTAAAGAATTAAAGGCTAGTGACGCATTAAACAAGTGATTCTTTTAATTGATATGCCACTTTTGTTACTTCAATTAAGACAGGGACTTGGGTAGCTATGCTAAGGATAACAAAATGCAAATCGAAACTCAAAAAGTGTATTCTTTCACTGTGGATGTTTATTTGGTTTGATGCAACTTTTCATTACTAGGACCCAACACTTCTTAAGTTCTGCAAAGTTGTGTGTTTTCAAATACTGATACGTGTGCAAATAATCCCCTTTTAGATGTTGCAAAACTAAACTTATGTGTTATAGTATGTGATTGGTTTGACAGGTTGGATGGCCTCGAAGGCCATTGTCTAAGCTAGCTGCTGCTCTTAAAAATAGCTATATAGTTGCAACTTTGCATTCCAGGAAGTTCTCTTCAGGAGAAGGTATGTAGGTAGAACAACTTTATTGTGGAATTCATATGTTTATCTTTTAGTATTATGCCCAATTATCTGAATTTGTTTGCAAATGAGTTTTATAAGTGATAAAAGTCTTAGTCTATTTGGACAAGTTACTTGGCAGAGGCGAATGGAGAAAAGAAGCTGATAGGCATGGCTCGTGCAACATCAGATCATGCTTTCAATGCAACAATTTGGGATGTTCTTGTTGATCCTTCCTATCAGGTATCTGCTCTGTGCGCCTTAAAGAAATTTGTCCGTGCTGTCATAGCTATTTAATTAGAGGCTACTGGTCATTGCTTGTACTAGTCAGGAATCAGGATATTTCCTGAAACTTTTCATGTAGTAGCACAATTTTTGTTTCTTTTTTTTAAATGATGCAAGTGATTTTTGCGCAGAGGTATTTTTCCAGATTATTTTCGATTGGTCCAAGTTGTCAACCTTACATCTTCATTTTCCAAGTAATGCAATACAACTACGCCTCAATCCCAAGCTAGTTGGGGTCGGCTGAATGAATCCTCACTAATCATGTCGCTCCATTTAGACGCGTATAAGTTCAACATTTAAAGATTTAAGTTATCATGCACTAGGAGTTCTCTTTAATTTCTATTGTTATACAAGTCTCTAACAAGACTAAAAGCAACTAGGGGGCCCAGCGTTCACTCCTATATAACATATATCCATCTTAGCGTTCACATTTTTGCGATGTCTTGTGGATATATTGAATCTTAGGGGTCCAACGTTCACTCCTATATAACATAACTGGTCTTACAATTGTTCTATACGATGTTTCTTTCTCTTTGATAGGTATCCTCTTATCGTATAAGACTCTAGTGGCACTTCTCCATTTCAACCATCCTATTCTGATTTTATGTGTAACATCTCATCTATCATACTCCCTCCGTCCCAATTTATATGAAGGTATTTGATTAGGCACGGAGAAAAAGAAATAAAGGAAGACTTTTGAAACTTGTGGTCTAAAACAAATCATAAGGAGGTTTTTGGGAGGGTAGAGGTTAAAATGAGGTAGCTTATGCATGAATTGGGGGAATTAGAGAGAGGGGAAGGGGCGAGGGAGTTAGATGAATCCGAGAGAGCGAGATTGGGGGAGGTTAAGAGGGAAATAGTCGAGTTTGCAATAGCTCAGGAGACTAATTGGCGGCAAAATCGAGGGTGCTCTGGTTAAAGGAGGTGGATTCGAATACCAAGTTTTTCCACAGGGTGGCGGTTGCAAATCGAAGGAGAAGCTTCATAGAATCCTTGGCTGTGGATGGGTGAGGATTGAGGGAGAGGAGGAGGTAAAACGGGCGATAGTGGGGTTTTATGAGAACTTATACAAAGAGGAAGTTAGTTGGAGGCCGACTTTGGGGGAATAGAGTTCAACCACATAGGGGAGGGAGACGGTGAGTGGCTAGAAAGGGCTTTCGAGGAGGAGGAGGTGCACGAGGCTGTGTCGAGTTGTGCTGGTGATAAGGCCCCCGGGCCTGATGGTTTCTCCTTGGCTTTCTTCCAGCTCTGTTGGGACACTATCAAGGGGGAGTTGATGGAAGCCATGTGAATGGTGTTTTCGAGAGAAGTATCAATGCTTCTTTTATTACTATTGTGCCTAAGAAAGAAGGTGCATCTTGTATTAGAGACTACAGGCCCATTAGTCTCGTGGGGAGCATTTACAAGATTTTTTCTAAAGTGCTTTCCAACAGACTCAAGAAGGTTCTTGACGTGTCTATTTCGTCCTCCCAGAATGCGTTTGTGGAAGTTAGGCAGATCCTGGATGCTGCTTTGGTGGCAAATGAACTTGTAGACTCCGGAAGGAAAAATAGAGAACCCGGCTTACTATGCAAGTTGAACCTTGAGAAGGCTTTTGACCATGTCAATTGGGAGTTCCTGGATCTCATTATGATGCGGATGAGGTTTGGGGCAAGATGGAGAGGATGGATCAAGTTCTGCATTTCCTCAGTCAGATTCTCTATCCTGGTTAATGATGGCTCGTGTGGTTTCTTTGGCAGCTCCAGGGATCTCAGGCAAGGTGACTCCCTATCCCCCATGCTATCCATTCTAGTGATGGATGCTCTGAGTAAAATGATGGATCGTGTGGCGGGCGGAGGCTTCTTGAGAGGATTCTCAGCTCCGATCGGGGTGCTCAGTGCCCGAAGAGTCTCTCATTTGCTCTTTGCGGATGACACCCTGGTTTTCTGTGATGCCGATATGGATCAGTTGACCTATCTGAAGCAGGTCCTGCAGTAGTTTCAGATAGTATCAGGACTCAAAATCAACCTCGGCAAGTGTGAGATTTTCCCGGTGGGTGAGGTTGCTAACATTGATGCTTTGTCTTATGTTCTCAGTTGTAAGGTGGGCTCCCTTCCCACTACTTACCTGGGTCTCCCATTGGGCGCTTCGCATAAGGATACTACGGTTTGGAACCTAGTGATCGAAAGGGTTGAAAAAAGATTAGCAGGCTAGCAGAAACGATACTTGTCAAAAGGCGGTAAGGAAGTGCTTATTAAAAGCACTTTATCGAGTATGCCCACCTATTACTTGTCCCTGTTGCAAGCTCCTATGAGCATCACAGAAAAATTGGAGCGGCTTCAAAGGAATTTTCTTTGGGACTGCGGATGGAACTAGAAAGTTTTATCTAGTTAATTGGCAGACAGTCACTTCGCCAAAGAAGTGGGCTGGACTTGGAGTAAAAGATCTTAGGGTATTCAATAGAGCTTTGTTGGGGAAGTGGCTGTGGAGATTCGGGGTAGAAGAGCATGCTCTATAGAGGGAGGTCATAGTAGAAAGTACGATTCCACGGGAGGGGGTTGGAGGACCAAGGCAATCACAACACCTTTCGGGTGTGGCATGTGGAGGAGCATCATGAAGAACTTTTGAAGCCTTCAGTGGCAACATCACTTACAGGGTGGGAGATGGAAGGAGAATTAGCTTTTGGAATCATAGGTGGTGTGGAGAAGATACTCTGAGGGTCTCCTTCCCCCACGTCTTCAGAGTTTCAAACCAGAAGGAATTGATGATCCAACAGATTCGTAAGGAGCATGAGGGGGGGGGGGGGTAAGGTAGTATGTGACCTCTCATTTAGAAGGAACATGCAAGATTGGGAGATTGCGGAGCTCCAAGATTTGTTGACACTGCTATATGGGCAAGACAGGCCCCAACCATCTTGTGATTCTTGGAGATGGGGTTTGCGTGGCGATGGTTTGTTCACCGTAAAGTCCTTTTACCAGAGTATGTTGGTGAGAAAGGAGGCCACTTTTCCATACTCCTCGATTTGGATTCCTAAGGCGCCCATGAAGGTGTGCTTTTTTGCATGGCTAGCGGCGAGATGAGTGATTTTGACTGCTGAAAATCTGCGAAAGAGAGGAATTACACTTGTTAGTTGGTGCTACATGTGTAAAAGCTCAGGGGAAGAAGTTGATCATCTTTTGTTGCATTGCCCTGTGTCCTCGGCTTTGTGGAGGGCAATCCTGAATCTTTTTGGTGTTCAATGGGTGATGCCAAGCACGGTAAAGGAAATGTTATATAGCTGGGCCGGTTTCCGTAGAAGAAGAAAGCAAAAGGCGTGGAAGTTCGCCACGTTAGCTCTGATGTGGATAGTTTGGGGAGAGAGAAATAGGAGAACTTTTGAGGGGATTGAGTCTCCTTTTTCACATCTTAAGAATAGTCTTTTTATCTTTGATCGCTTTTTGGTTCTCATATAGCCCCTACTTGGATAGAAAATTGGGCGTCTTTTGTAGAGAATCATGTTCTGATATAAATTTCCTACTTTTTGGTGTACTTCCTGTATACGGGAGTTCTCTCCCTTTTGATTAATATAACTTACCTTATAAAAAAAAACCATAAAGTTAATTTGACTAGGAAATGCTTTCAATGCAACAATTTGGGATGTTCTTGTTGATCCTTCCCATAATTGCAATATTTAACTAAAAATGGATTTAACTAGGAAATGCTTATTATGATACCCATTATCCTCACGTGTCTGTATATTGGATGCGTCTTATTTTCAAACTTAGGTGGAACTATTACTGATGGTTTTCTTGATAATCTTCTTGTAATTCGAAATAAATTTTGAGCTAACATAGTCGATTTGATGGATTTTTTTGACATTCAAAGGGACAAGGACTTGGAAAAGCTCTTATTGAGAAACTGATAAGGACCCTTCTCCAAAGAGACATTGGAAATATTTCATTGTTCGCGGATAGTCAAGGTACCATTAGAACCAAGGTCTTTGATCTGTAAAGATTTGTTTGGTGTTGAATCATATTGGCAAGTTTTTGTTGAAAAGCTTTTAAATCTTCTTTGAATCTTATATGTTAAAAGCTATCTTTTCTTACAGTTTCTCCATTAACCTAAATAGGCTTCTGAAGCAACTTTTTTTTTTTTTTTTTTTTTTTTTTTTGCAGTTGTGGAATTCTATAAGAATCTAGGTTTTGAACCTGATCCAGAGGGTATTAAGGGAATGTTTTGGTATCCAATGTATTAAACATGTATAGTTGGACCGACAGTTTCTGCCTCTTGCTCTGTACAAATTCCTCAGCGTGGTGCGGGAATGTGGCAGTTGGATTCTGCGACAATATGCAGCATTCTTCGGAAGCTTATGAGCTTTTTGGCCATCTTGTAATGTACATTATAATGACTATCGAACATTTGCGATTGTATCTTGAGGGTCATGTTGTATTCTTGTTAGAGGATTTCGGTATATATGCACAAGGACTAGGTTTCTGATAGTTTATTAGATGCTGCTTTTGATTAAAATGTATCCTCATTAATTTTTTAATAGATCTTGTTCCATTATAATTTTCCTTGTCTACCATATCATTTTCCTGTTGCTTCTTGCCTTGGCTGTTCTTGACAGTGGTGCAAATTGTTACTCTCCATTTCCTAAATTAGTAGTCATTTTCTATCTTTACATGTTCGATGACATGATGTTGAGTAATGCACAAGTAACAACAATAACAACATACCCAGTGTAATCCCACATCGTGGGGTCTGGGAAGGGTAGTGTGCACGCAGATCTTACCCCTACTTTGTGAAGGTAGGGAGGCTGTTACCAAGTAACAATGACAAAATGCTCTCTTTTATCAAATACATGCAGTACAGGAAAAAATAGCTTTATATCAGTTTGTCTTTCCGCTTGAGATGGTGTTCCATGCACGTTCTATTCTGAAAAATCTGCATTTCTAACTTGACAGATCTGGTCTTGTTTTCATGCAAATTGGGACATAAAAAGTATTATATATTTCGATAATAGGGAGTCAACTTGACATGGGAAGCATTCCAACAGCAGAATGTGTAAACAAGATAAAAGAAACAGAATCATATAGCTTTTGAGACAAAGCTGAGGTTACCTACCAAGAGAACGTTTGCACAATGTTGTACTGCTCAAGTAGTCAGTAGAAAAGACCAAGCCCCCTTGCCTAGTTCATATAAGTCATTGTTTATTCCCACACCAAAATAACTGGAATTTTTGTGTGGCAAATTGCCATTACTATATATCACTATGTCCAATTACTTTTTTGTCAACTCATATTGACAATGCCATTGCCAACTACTAGCTGATTTTCGTTTTCTGGTGAATATAAAAAGAGAAAAACTTGACAAATTCAAGATTGCCAGTGTCAACTCTCAGCTTACTTCATATATCTTATATCTACATGTTTAAAATGATACTTCCCTTCCTACCATTTATGCAGACATTTCTACATTGGTTGAGTTCTCTTTGCTTTTGATTTCTCTGAAGTTTCTGGTAAGAGGTTCAATAATTTATATCTAGAAATTAAATTATCTTCTACACTAATTCAAAATGAGAGATAAATGTTTTCATGATGGATTTTCATGGCAAAAAAAGGGCAGCCCGGTGCACAAAGCCTCCTGCGTTCACGCAGGGTCCGAGGAAGGGCCGCACCCCAAGGGGATGTAATGTAGGCAGCCTACTCTGATGCAAGCATCGGTGGCTGATTCCACGGCTCGAAACCGTGGCCTATGGGTCACACGGAGATAACTTGACCGTTGCTCCAAGGCTCCCCTCGTGGATTTTGTAGGCAGCCTACTCTGATGCAAGTATCAGTGGCTGATTCCACGACTCGAACCCGTGGCCTATAGGTCACACGAAGACAACTTTACTGTTGCTCCAAAGCTCCCCTCCTGGATTATCCTAGCAACTTAGAAAAACAAACAATTTTCTTCACAGAACTAAAAAGATAATATTTGGTTTAAGGATATTTGGAGATGGACAGAAGTAGAAGAGGAAAAGTGGTAATAAGACAAAGTGAGTTGATATTACTGGTTCTGGCTCTTTCAACATTTTGGTCTGCTTATGGACAATCAATGATCACTGATCCAAATGAAGGTAATTTCTCTCTGTTTTCTCATGTAGATATTGTTATTTTATTTTATCTCTTCAAGGAATTTTGACTTTAACTAATGCTCCACTAGCTAAATTACCCGGTGAAGAAAAAATAAAAAAGTCCATTTCAATTTATGTAAGGTAATTTAATATGAAATTTAAAAAAGAAAGAATTTTGAACCTTATATTTTTTAACATTCCATAACATTTGTTAAGAATAAAGAATAAGATATGGTCTTAAACAAGCCACAATATTTGTATGATTATAGAAGCTTTTCACTAAAGGTAAATCGAAAAAGTTAAAACTAAATTGTATCAAATATAGAGATATGTCATTCTTTTTAATTTTTAGAAAAAACTAAGGAGTCGTTTGGTTGGAATTAGTTATTCCGGGATTGTTATCTCACTTTCCCATAGGGGCAAAAATAACACTATACTCACGGGATAACTAATTCGGAAATTAGTTATATCATGATTTTATCTCAATCAAACGTAAGATAAACTGATCTTAAATTTAATCTTGGGATTAATTGCCCTTATCCCTCATACCAAACGGGCCCTTAATTGTGTCAACACAATAAAAACTTAAATGACAAGTGAGGCTTGCTCAGTTGGTAAAAGCACCTCCACACACGACCGTTAAGTCCTGGGTTCGAGTCACGCTGGAGGGGTAGTATGGAAACCGTCACGCCCCAAATCGGAGGGCCGCGACGGGCACCCGGTACCTTACTCAACCGAGTACCAACATAACGTATCTTTCTTATCACACCATCATGGGTAAATGGGCCAGAAGGGTCATCATGAGATAACCAGAATAAAACATAAAGGAATGCTAGACATAGGATGAGCCAACACGATATAGAAACTTATACATGTGACATACGGGCCTATAAGTTCGTCATAATCATTTGTATACTCAAAACATAGGCCGACAAGGCCATACAAGTATACATATACATGACATCCGTCTACAAGCCTCTAAGAGTACCTAAACATCATAAAGGTCGGGACAGGGCCCCGCCATACCAATCAATACATGTCCAAATCATGCTGACCAAATAGGCAACTCCGGAGCAAGTGGAGTGCACTAAGACCTTCCGCTGAGCTGATAGCCTACTAGGAGGACTGTCAACCTGTCTATTGGGACCGGCGAGCATGAAACGCAACGTCCCCAAGCAAAAGGGACGACAGTACGAATAAAGTACCGAGTATGTAAGGCACGAAAGCATAAATAAGAACAGTAATGTAAATAAAAATAGAGAAGATACAACCTGCAGCATTTGAGCGCCTCTGAGGGCTACTAACATGAAATGCATGATACATATATATACATAAACTTTTAAAAACATATGCCTCTGTGGGCATGCCAGGTTGAAACCTTCCTTTAATAAGTCCCATATCATACCCGACCTCGAAGAGGACTGGGTAAAAATGTACCCGACCATCATAAGGGTTGGTAGAATCTTACCCGGCCACGTGGAGCTCGGTAAACCCAACTGAGCAGTGGTTGCACAATAGGTGCCGTACCTGGCCGACTATTGCGCGGCTCGGTAGAGTAAAATAGATATTATATATAATGCATGATAGACTCATGGAATCACGTTCTAAATCTTTCGTAGTGACGTAAGGTCGTTGCACCTTCGATTAACATTATGGACATCCATACCATCAATATGAACCTCAGTAGGATTCAAGGATCATACATACTTGCTTAGAATAACTTTACAAAGAAAGAACAACATGGACAACCTTAGTTTCTAGGAGTAGATCCGTTATGAAATAGCGTATCGTTTACATTCGTTTTACTCTAGATCATGCCAAAAGAAATTAGGAAGTGCCTTAACATACCTTAACCCCGTTGAGTCCTTAACACCTTCCAAGCAACTCTTCAAACAAGTCAACTCAATCTATTGTAGCATAAGGAGATTCAAAATCAGTGCTGAGCAAATGCAAAGTCTGTAACTTAAGCTAGTAGCTCGTTTACGTAAATTCGGGCAGCAACTCCCTTGTAACAAGGGCCTCCTCCAATACCATATACCAACAACAACAACAACAACCAAAGAAATCCAGCAACATATAAATATCAAACAAGACACCATATAACAACAAAAAATCACAACTACTTCACGACGAGCGGCAAGCTCTGATTGGAATCCGTATAACCCATATCACCCCTTATAGACTTCTTACATTAACTTAACAGTATCATTAACATGATAATGAAGTCATTCATCAATGATTCCATCCTTATACCATATATTTATAACAAAGAAAATAATCCACAACTCCAACTATCTTCAATTAGCAACTTTATTCACTAGTTCATGTCTAGTCCATCCATTTAACTTAATCAACATCAAGATAACCTTAAGAACATGCAAGAACACAATACACATACCTCCTACAGTAACTTCAAGTCGAAATCCAAGTTATATTAACAACCCTCAATGGCAATACAACACCATAGAAGTGACTTAAGCTAATCCAAGTATTATCTTGTAATTTATCATCCTAACAACTTAACGAACATACAAGCAAATAAGCACAATTAGTAGGTTATTCTACTCATCTTAGCCAGTAGCAACAACTTCAAATTTCAGCCAAACACAACCCACAACTATCCTCAATGACAACACAACCTCAAAGAGGTGTTGTTCTTCACTAGAACTAACTTTTGATGTTGAAATATGGTATAATCACTTTCGAATCACTTCAAACCCTTATGGTATCTGTTTAGAAGGGCTAGGAGAAGTTTGGAGACGAAGTTGAGTTGAAAATGAGCAAACAATAGGTGTCCAAAACGTTTATAAAGTGAAGTAGGTCGACCACCGCCTAAGTGGGTCCCATTGAGAGCTTCTTGCGTGGTCTCGCGAAAATGCGAATATCTCTCTACTCCAATGTCGTATCGACGAACGGTTTAATGCGTTAGAATCTACACTCGTAGTTCTTCAATTTGATATATAGATTATCCCTTAATTCCAAGTATATTGGGAGAAAAGTGCAGCTACATTTGACCTAATTTTCAGCATATTATGAATGTAACTTGTGATGACCTTTGCCAACTTTTGTTCCACAACTCGCTTAACTTCAAAACGTAACACAAGACTATCATACGACTAAAATAACTCATAACATAACCTCCTTATCATGTTAAGCACCATAGTCTCACCCCAAAAGTGCATGTTATAACATTCCAATCTTGTCGACTTTCGACGAAACTTATTTTCCAATTCGTTTAGCGTCTAAGTTTTACCAACCCTCTTGGTACTTGTTATTCATGATATTAAATATTTGTAACCTCCAAGGTAACATGATTAACTTACTTTATGTACTTTCAAAAATAATCTTATTTCTGACCTTACATCACTTACGAAGTACTCTCACGTACGAATTGTAATAGAAACACTATGGATCCTCCTAAATTGTGAGGGATTTAAAAAAATAAAAAATAAAAATAAAAACTTAAATT